AAACGAAAATTACTTCAGTATAGGAAAGAGTGGAGGTGCGTGTTCAACCAGTCTTAGGACTGACGAATGTAAACCCATTCTTTTGATGTGAAAATAAAGTATCGTTTTTGTTCTTCTCGGGATGGTTTCTGGAGCCTCGTCACCCTTTTGAAACTAATACAATGCAATTTTATCCTTAACTTTTATCTCGAAGTCTAAACCGCCAAAGATAATAAAAATGACAGATTCACTAGTGGAACTTTGTTAGACGACATCTCTTTTGTGTTACATGTGCATGTCGCCACACAGTTCCGGAATTTTGGCGAAAGTTAAGAATTTCTTTCCAAGTGTGTGCGTCTGGGTAAGAGATAGCGTCAAACTTCGTGCCATGCGGACATCTTGTATATATACGTATGCACAGTGTCTCGAATTAGTAGAAAAGGAGAGATAAGGAAAGAGAAATAGAGAGCCCATTCAAGATCCTCACTGTCTCAGAAAAACTAAACAATGTCAAATTAAGATTTCACGTATAATAACGGTCTAACTTACCATAGTAATAGAAATAGGTCGAGTACCCAGCTTTCCGGTACTTTTTTTAGGATCCAGTCGGGCACCTTTGTTGTATTGGAACCATTCCTACCATAATGCACACTAAGCCTTCAATGCGTAATAGTATAGAACTTAATCTTTGCCATTTTGTTATAATTTTATAATTTATTAAACTTTTAACCCCAATTTTTCCCCATTTTATAGTGGATGAAATCGTTGTATAACGAATGGCCTAGAGGTCTAGACCATTGCTTAGCATTCGGGAGGACGCCGGTTCGATTCCGGGTCCGTCTGCCTTGGTCCAAGTTTTTCTGTGGTTTCCTTGGATCACTTAGGCGAATGCTGGGGCAGTAATATTCCACAGATAATCTTTCATTCTCTTCTGTCTTCATTTCGTCCGTCTCATCTTTCTCACCCGAACCACCACCCACCCATTCCCACGATTCCTGAAAGCAGGCTGAAGAGGGCCTTCCGCCCTACCTTCCGGCATAGCCCGGAGGGACTGCCCGCCCACCAGGCATTACTGGCTGGTGGGAATGAAACACCCAAAAGTTTTAAAGTTTTTACTTTGAATCGCCTTAGGGGTTGAATTTTGAAATATATTTTCGTAGTGCTTGCCTATGTAATATAAATAACGTCTGTGCAAAGTTTTGAGTCTACAGACCCAGGTAATTATCGTTTTAATCCTAAACTATATACGAGATGTCTAAATTAAAACGCGACTGATTATTTATTTGTCTACCTCAAAACAACTTCCTTGGGAAGACTCAGCTCTGGAGGTGGTTCTTCCATTCTTCATAGTAGTGCTGGAACTCGGATGCTGGAATAGCCTTGAGCTAGTTGGTTATAGCCCTTTGAATATTTTCGAGTATCCCAAAAAGACATCCCTTGAAATGAGATTTTAATCCCTGGAAGAGGAAACGTCACAAGGAGTCAAGTCCGACATATAAAGAGATCTTGAGTCACAGACTTTTTGTGGAGGATTCCCTGTCCATCAAAGAAACGTTGGAGAGACGGGAATTTGCCATTCTATACTCTGGTTCTTGGTAGCTATCCAAATCGCACTAAAATACCCAATTCTCGTCACCCGTAATCACACGTTTCAAAAAATGGGGATAATTTTCAATCGACTTTCTCTCTTGGCATATTTTTTTGTTTCTGTGAAAGATTTTTTGAAATTATTTTTGATCAGTTTATTAATTAATTGGTTAAAATTTGGTTGTCGATGGTGTGACCCAAATTGAACTAAACAAGATTCCGAATTTTTGTCTGCATTTTCCTGGGTCCCTAAGTTACTTAATTGACAGACCTTGTATATACATATGACGTCTTTCAGTCAATTTTCCTTTATTTTTTTGTTGCTAGTAAGGTGCAAAATCAAATGTTTCATGATGGACAGAACATACTAAAATACCTCGTAAGTTTCAAATATTTGTTTTAGTTTAAGCATTATTGTGTAACAATATCGAAGCTTTTGTGCTATTTTTAGAACTGAAGACATCCAACGAATCAAATTCATTTATTTCTTCATCTATCTTCTGATGTCACACTGAGCAAAGATAAATTCCACCACATGTTTATTAGAATTGCTTGATATATATTCGCATTTTATCTTTTCTATTACTTCAAACATGCCAACAGATGAGTGACGGTTAGTAATTCGATTAAAACTGTTTTTAATTACTTTAAATGTGAGAGAAATAAGTGAAAGTATAGAGCAATCAGTTAAAAATAGAAAACGCGATTTTATTTCGTGAGGTGTAATTTATGTAAGCCTGCCTTCGTCCTTTATGCGATAAGAGTTGTGGAATGGAAAGGGAAATGTGAGTTACAGACTGGTTAACGTGTTAAACCAAGTCTGAGCTTTGTTTGAGATGTTTTTAATTCACGATTACGTAAAATAAAAGTGTTTGTGTTACAATTCAGTAATTACTAATTACAACGTAATTATTATTGTTCGCTAATGAGCTTTGTAAGTACTTTCATAGATCACCTTCTAACTTTATTAAATAGCTGATTGGAATGATTATCATTGTTAGATAATAGTTGTACTGATGTACATAAAGTATGTTTGTGTAGCAGGACGGAACGTAATTTCATGGCGTTTCTGGCAAGATTTCTTACTGTTTTATCTACTTTATTTGATGGTGATGGTGTGATACAGTTGTTGTTCCTTTGTTTTTTACTTGATGAAAATTTTCTGGTCTGGTAATTATCCAGAATTGCGGCTCCAGACCAAAATCGCTCCAAAAATTTTTTCGTTAATTCTGGTCATTCTACATAATAGAATTAGATATTAGAAGGTGGGGGAGACAGTTTTTTTCCTTTTATTACAGCATACATCATGGGTGTATATGGTGTATGTACAACAATTTCCTCTTTTATTAATATTAAAAGAGGAAATTGTTGTACATACACCATATACACCCATGATGTATGCTGTAATAAAAGGAAAACGTGTCTCCTCCGCCTCAGATATAATCACTGAACCTTCAGAAATGACCAGAAATCGATGAAAAAATTTTTGGAACGATTTTGGTCTGGAGCTCCAATTCCAGGAATTACATGAAATTCCGATATTGTAGAAGGAAATGTATAAAACTAATGCTTTCTGTGAATAAAATATTCTAACATATCAGCCCGCCTCCGGTGAACAGGGGCGTTAAATAAACTCCAATCTGTCAGAGATCTACCTAACCAAACAATGACGTCACCAATGCATGTAATTATCCAGAATTGGAGCAACTTTTAAAAATTATCATACAAAAAAAAATTTGTTTTTATTTATGAAGTAATTAAAAAAATTTTCTTTCTTACTTCGGCAAAATCTTTCTCCTTAATGAAAAAATTGATAGACCAACTTCAGCCACGGGATTTTCTTAAATTTGCAATATTAAAATTTGAAAAATGAAAAACCCACGTTGTTTTTGGTATATAGGTACTTATAATTTTTAGACATGAGATATCGTAAGTTTCAGCATGATCTGACTAGTTGGAGAACCGTATCCAGCGAGTGTTTGGGTGGATCAAATTTTTTAATGCTGCATCCCCTACTTTGGTTCGAAATAATTATCCTCACAAGCATTTTGGGCAAACTGCATTTTCCATTTGATGTTTTAGGCACGAACATTTTTCTGAACTCAATTGAAATTGAGATAGTTTCAGACCCTTTTGAATATTTGAGCTTTTGCCAAAATCGTTCTTCTATACATATGGTCTAAAACGGGACCAGCTGAATTTAGACTTTCAATTCAACTGCATTCAATTCAGCTTATTGATATGTTATATTTCTGGTAGATGTTGGCGTATGAAGATCATGCTCATCTTGAGAACACCCGTTTCATTTCATCACCAATCGCCTCTGTAAACTCAAATACGTTAGGTTAGAGGAACAGGTATTTACTTTGGCAGTTTTGGGCTTTGATTTGAATCAGTTTAGCCCAGATTACTAACAAAGGTACAACAGTTAGAACTAATACGATGCATCCTAAAGGTCATCTAGTGAACTTTGTGGAGTTGTGACGGACGATTCAAAGCATTTTTGTTGGTTTTCTCCACGTTGTGTTGTAGCCACTTTCTTAACTGGAACTATAAATTACTTTAGCAATCGCGCACCAGTCCTTCATCAAATAAAGTGGCGCGTTGCTTCTTGTTTTAGACTTGTGCCTATAATTTCCTGTTTCAAAACACGTATACACGGAAGCAGTGGAAAAGGTAGACTGGAGAAGATGGAACGAACGACGGGTTCTGTTTGTCGGTGATGAGGGCGTCGAGACGGTGCGGTGGCGTGTTCCTTGCCTTAATATGTACATTTCGTTCTCTTTCTTTTCGTTTAAGAATTAAGGAGGATTAGAGTTTTCATGGCCGGGTTGGCCCCGGGCCAACTGGATTATTGCGCACCGTGTACGAGATTCTCTTTCGTGTTGTTCAGGACGGTTGTTTCAAATGTTGTTCCATTTTTTTTTTTGCTTGTTCTCATACAGACTGGAATTTTTGTTGGTTCTCTCTTACATTCAATATCTGACAATCAATTAATTCTAATCTGACGCACTGTCGTGTAAGTGCTTACTAAATTTCATTTCTCTGTAGTATGATATAATATCGGAACAATCAGGGTCAGCAAGGGATAAATAATTTTATTTATTCTATCAGAGGGTAAGTGAAGACGGTAAAGCCGCCTCACCGCCCTGCATCTTCATGATCTTGAATTGGACCATCTATTCTCGACTTCTTGACTATAATTATGCTAGTAGTTGTCACATCAACTAATAATTGATTTAAGAATGTATATATTCCTATCTGTTCACAGGAAGACCATTAAATTCCTGTAATAGTTTTCTTGGAGTCTGTAGTATTTCTTTCCATACATTTTGCGCATTTTAAATGAACCTCCCGTTTATTAAGAACTTCAATTTATAAGAGTAATTTATACAGACTTTAATGTGGCTAATAGGGTTTTGTTTTTGTTTCAGAAAATGGGACGCACGGCATGAATTCATCCAAAAGAGGAAGACTGGTATTTAACGTGAAATAGTTGTTACTTTCGGCCATACTTTTAGTGATACCGGAAGTGCATGTTCTAGTCTGTGAGTGGAAATATTCGTATATTTAAATTACCTTAGCCTTTTCTAACGACAAGTTCCCACATTCTAAACATCAGTTATTATCATCAATTCTGATATCATATTCAGGGTAAATTAAGGAATTTACTAACTAATAATTTATTCATTATATTAAAACTGATTTCAATCTACATTCTATTTAATTCCAATATCTGTAAGGTATTTATATTACTTTTATTTTACCTACTATTTACAATTAGTATTAATTGGAGCTTTCAGTCTTTGTTAATTAACTAATGCTATCAAAATATCACTATTGATTTAATTAAATTCAATTACAAATTTTGTATACAATGTAAAAATGTGGGACAATAGAATTATTTTTCATTCAGTTCATTTATAAAAGCCTTTAATGTTAATTCACAAACATTTAGAAGTCTAGATTAAATTCATTTCTGCTTTCCATTTTATTATTCTCTCTGTTTTTGTTCCAATGTCCAAATTAATTTTTGAACAATTTGACCATCTTCTAGGACAATATTCCTTTCAATGAATTATTTTTTATTGCATCACGCCTTCTTCATCTATAATTATATTATAAATAATTGTCAATTAAATAAAGCGTATCATCTACATTTGTGACTTTCAGACTTTGGTTGTAGTTGAACATTGAACTATCAAACGTAAATGACTACGAAAGCCTTTTTATTGTTGTAGTTAAAATAAATTGTGAAATAACATAAAGGCGTTGACATTCCTTTCGACATAATCTAAATTTTCATGAAAATTACTACTTTCTGTATACGAATCGTTCTATTTCACGTTCGTATGTCCAGATACTAATTTTCTTTTGGCAACAGGATAAAATGTCGTCGAACTGCTGCAAGTGTTGTTGTTGTTGCTGCTATTCCGGTAATTTTGAGTGACATTTCGTTTTCACGATGCAGCGAACAATGTCGCGAAATTCGCTTCCACCGTCGGCGACGAGCGCAAGGGAAAATTCGAGCGGCGCGAGTGCTGTCGGCGATTACACGTTGTCGTGTCTGTGGGTGTTGACGCCGGTCGCCGCGACGCTTTCCCTCGTCGTCATCGTTGTCGCGACGTCTACAAACCAGTGGCTGCACACCGAGGAGAAAATGAACAATCCGACGTACAACGGCACCGGAGACGACAAGTACCTGTCAAAAGTCACCGTATCAGGACTTTGGGCAATCTGCATCATAAATCGTGAGTCCATTTTATTATTTTTATCTTTCTGCTACAATTATTCAGTGTCCTCCTTCTATTACGGTTAGTAACGAGACTAATCGTAAGTAATTTGAGATAGGTATAAACTCACGAACATACACGAATTATACAAATAAATAAGATATTCGTACATATTTACAAGAAAGGAAAAGGTACCGCTCAGTTTTTTAGAATGCATCCATAGCGCAAAGTTCATTTGTGTTTACAGTGGCACTTCTTTGGTAGCTACTGATGCCAGGGGAATCCCCGCTTTCTATTTTTGAAGGACGTTCAAGCGCTACGCTAGAGTCAAATAAATAATAAACATTCGAACATATTCACAAGAAAGGAAAAGGTACCGCTCAGTTTATTAGAATGCATCCATAGCGCAAAGTTCATTTGTTTTTACAGTGGCACTTATTTGGTAGCTACTGATGCCTGGGGAATCCCCGCTTTCTATTTTTGAAGGACTTTCAAGCGCTACGCTAGAGTCAAATAAATAATAAAGATTCGAACATATTTACAAGAAACGAAAAGGTACCGCTCAGTTTCTTGAATGCATTCATAGCGCAAAGTTCATTTTTTTGCAGTGGCACTTCTTTGGTAGCTACTGATGTCCGGGGAATTCCCGCTTTCTATTTTTGAAGGACTCTCAAGCGCTACGCTAGAGTCAAATGACTAAGTACTAACTTTTTACGAAATTCATTCGGGTCTCAAGAAAACTTGATAAGTAGACATATCTTCTTCATGATTTATAAATATGAAACTACAATGTGAAGCTTTTTTATATTAAGGGAAGGCCCCATCTGATGAATTAGCCATTGGGTACAGTTTAATATTTTTTTACTACCCAATACAAAACTGGCATTCTTTACAGCAACCTACATGTATCCGTTTCTCGGATTAAATACACGGTCAATGATTATTTACACATTTGTGTATACAAATGCTTTCCCATCTAGGTACACGGGGTAATAATGTTTGTATACCTGTAATATCGTATCGATGTTAGTTCCGAAGCGGAAGCTTGTGGTTATCGGTCAAGCGATAATACACAGATCCATTCAGCCAGCACTTGAACATGTGGCTGGTTATGGCTACACAATGCGGCGCGTGCTCCTGAGAGCGGGCTAAAAGCTGATGGCAATCCCGTTGGTTCCTTTACATGTACCTATAGCACCTGTTATTAAAATTTTCTGAATCAACGGTCCTACGGGATAGTAATAGGAAACAGGATTTTTTTAATGCTGCTTACAGATGTGTAAAGCTCGGTTTTTGGGTTGCATTTAAAGCTAATTTGTTATTATTACTTCTATATCTAACATTTAAATGATCCTTTAGGGGCACAATAGATCAAAATGTGCCAATGTCGCCAAAAATTTGTCCATTTTTAAATTATAATGAGAATGGAGACAGGGTGGGGTGGTGCAGCACAATTTCTTTGGGTTGATGAGTCAGGAGTTGAAGAATGAGGGAACATCCAAAAGAAAGGGGTTTCAGTGTATATAAGTATGATCCTAGGGACTAATAGTAGTCATTTGTCAAAAATTGTTAGCGTATGCGCAGTACTAAGTATTTGTACTTCTCTAAACAATTTTCTGTTTTCATTATCAATAAATTCTTATGTTTCTAACCAGTTGGGTTTAACAGTTTGTAAGTACATCTTTGTTATATATCTCATTTCCCTTTAAAAAGTTTTTAGCCGATCTATTCTGTGAGGCTTTCCCGTCAGATGCTTTTGGAATGATATATAGTCTTTGTCAAATCAATTGTGCTTGACATTGCAGATTAGTTTTCTTCTCAAAAAAAAAAAAAACATTAAAAGCGCCAATTCAGTACACACAAAGGGGTTATATTTATGTGGTAGCAGTCAGCTGCTCATGCGCACTCACTATAGTTCGTCCTAAAGTCATTACCCATAAAAAATCGTTCACTTAGTTCACAGTGTGTCATTGCCGGCATATCGTTGGACATGTTCCTGATGGTCTATGCCATATGTTTTCGCCAAGTTCGTAAAGTCAAATTAACATACCTACCACTCTTGTGTGTAACGTTCAACATTAATTAATGGACAAAGGTTACTTGGACCGACGTCAGTGGGTCACTTGTTATTAGTTTCGAGGAAAGTTTGCTTTATCTTGACATAATTGCCATGCGTTAACTTCACAACTAACTGCTATACAGGCCAAGGGGCGGCTGCATTCATCATCCAGTAATTGTGGCGAATTTAATTAAGGGAGTTTTCACCCGTAACAAGGCACTTGTTAAGAGACGGGGGTACAATGCAATTGGGAAATCGAATTTTCTCAAATTGGGTGGCAACATCAGTCGATCGTAAACAACGGATTGGGATCCGTCAAATGGGAGGAGCCTAAAAACATGGCGCCGATTAGGGAAAATTTATCGTAGTTCCTATAGTGTACCGTGCAATTTCCAAGTTTTTAAATTACGATAAAATGATAAGTATTGACACAATATGTGATTGGGCTGACACAAAGCCTCTGAAAGGAAATTTCGTTGAAGGTGAGCGTGTTTTTAATGCCAATCACATTATAAAATTCGGAAACAATAAATTCGGAAGCTAGCCTTCAAATTCCGTCAAGTTTACTGCCTACTTTTGACAAACTTCGGATTTAAAAAGTGATTCACGTTATATAATTGGTGAGGTGATTCCGGGAAATTTAAGCAATATCATATCAATGACTTGCACGTGCAAAGTCAATTTAAGAGAACGTTGCAAACACATTATTGCAACTTTGTTGTATTGCAGCAGGTAGGTTCTTAACCTCAAAATACTTATATCGTATCATTAGAATTGTGTTAAATCAATTACACAGGAATAAATAATTTCTCACTTTATAATTTTAGTATGATTCTAGTTTTAAATATTAAGGTTATGGCTGATGGTAAATACTTGCTGAAATATAATCATGTGCATTAAAATGACGTGAACAAATTTTTATTCCGGAATTCACTTCTTTGATACCTACTGCTTTCATCCAAGCTTCTATTAGTTTACTTTTTTCTCTAATTTTCCGAATATATTTTTTACATATATAAAACGGTTAGTTTTTATTGGAAAGTAGTTAATGTAGGTGAAGAGTGAAGATCTATGTCTGAAGTGCTATTGCAGCTTTTCACTGAACATATTAACTTTTTATTTGATTTAACTTTAGAAGAAAACTTCGTCGACTCCATCATCAAAAAAATTTTTACTTTTTTAACGTATTTAATTATTTTAGTAAACATTTTTACCATTTGCGTGCACAGTTCCTATGTAAATTTTTCTCTCATTCGAGTTATAAATTTTGCCTCCAGATGGTGTATGCCCATTTGAGGGATCCCAATAGTAATATTTCGGGTGATTTTAGGTTGTAGGTATCAAAATTGTATGTTCCATAAAAAGTGCGACGATGTCTCTAACAATATTCTTAAAGGAAATAGTGTCCAAGAAATATTTTTGAGAATTGGCTATCACTCTCCATATTGATCAATTTATTAGTCGATGAGAATCTTGCTTGTAAACTTCCCCCTTTGTTTTTATTTAAGTCTAACTAGCTTGGAGGATTTCTCATTTGAAGGAAAAGGTAATTGTGATCGATTAAATAAATTTTTCTGTTCAAGAATGTTCTATTATTCTTTCTGAATTATATTGAGTGATATGTTTCTTGAATTTCTTTCCAGCATTCTCCTTATTTTCTTCTTTTTACTTCACCTATCCTGTTAGTTAAAAACTAATTTTGACATGACTTCATCAGAAATGTTTTCGTATGTATATACCTGACCATTCGTTGTGGATTGAAGCGACCGAGTTGTGTAAGGATTGTGCTTGGATATTCACCAGGAAAAGGCAAAGTTCAAAATGTCCTCCAGTGTTGCACCCGAGCTGATAATGCAGTTGTCGTTTTCTCACTGTTAGCTTGGGGTTTTCGCGTAAAAGTGAGTTAGGGTTGTTCCTCTGACTGCTCTGTATTGTTCCCAAGCCCTTTACGTGAGTTATGTCCTCAGGTTCAGTTTACTGATTTATTCTCAGGACGGTAGTAGATTAGCAGTCGACCCCTTCTTGATCAAAAAAAATTAGAGACTTACTTTTTTATATTTCGCTTGAGGATTGTTTGTGGTCGTGATCGTCTAGGGGTTAGGATGCAGTAGCCCAGATTTGATTGCTACTCGTAGCAGTGTTCTCGAAATATTGTCACGGATGATCTCAACTGAATCTTGCAGCCTCATGAGGGTTAAATACTATGATAGCCTGTCATCCCCGATTCATGAAGAAAGTTTCGTTTTTCAGCTGCAGCGGTTGGTTTCAAGGATATGGGGATTATCGCTCCAAAGGATTCCATATGAGAATCAGTAAAGGTGTTAATTGAGTTCCGATGTTGCAGAACGTCACAAATTTTTCTTAATTGACGTACATCTACAGGGTTCAAGAATGTTTTAGAATTTTCTAAATGGTTCAAGAACTTTCTCGAATGACCAATTTTTCCTGAGCGAAACGAGAGAGGTAGCTTTAAATAAAATGGAAGCGTACAGATCAGTACTGTATGAAAATAAATAAAAGTAAAAGTAAAATACTGGTATGCAAGGGAAGAAAAAGTAGGGAAAGAGCGAATGTAAAGATAGGAGACGAAAAATTAGAAGAAGTGGCTGATTTTAGATACCTAGGAAGTTAGATAAGTCAGGATGAAAGGAGTAATAGGGATATAAAGCAGAGGATAGCGCAGGGTCATGTCGCCTTTAATAAAAAGAAGTCCCTTCTATGCTCGCGAACGGTTAATTTAGAAATTCGAAAAAGGTTGTTAAAGGTGTATGTTTGAAGCACGGCGTTGTACGGATGGACAGTGGGCGCGGCGGAAAAGAAAAGGTCAGAAGCGTTCGAAATGTGGTGTTACAGGCGAATGATGAGGATATCGTGGGTAAAAAAGGTTAGAAATGAAGAGGTATTGGAAAGAACAGAGGACTCTATAAGTCAATAAGAAATAGGCGAGATAGGTTAGTAG